CCGCTCCTCGGGCCCCGGCTCCGGGCTCCGGCCCACGGCGCCTCCTCGCTAGCTTCCCGCGCGCCTCCGGCTGCTACCGCCGAGCCCGCTGCTCTGCGCGCCTCGCTCGCCCCGGCAGGGTTTCCCCCCTCCCTTGCTGCTTTCTCTTTTTCCCCCTCGCTCTTTGCACTGGGGGGCTCTGCTTTTGGCTTCGCAAAGGTCCTGCCAAGATGCTAAGTTGGAAATTGAGGATTCTGACGCCTTGTGCGCGCCTGAAGCTCCTCCTTCCCGGGGTGTAGTCGGTGGGAGGACTGGCAGGAGCCTCTGGGCGGCCGCAGCCAACCCGGCCGGCAGGCGCGCCTCGCCCTCTCCCTCTTCCTCCCCGGCTCCCTCTCCCGCTCGCTGGCGCTCCCCCTCGCCCCTCCCTCGCGCCCGCCTCTCCTCCGCAGCCCTCCTGTCCCCCCTCCTCTTTTTCTCCCCCCTCCTCTCCCGGGTCTCTCTCTCTCTCTCTCACCCCCTCTCCTTCTCCCTCTCCCCCTCCCTCTCCCTCTCCCCCTCTCTCCCTCCCCCCCCTTTCAGACTCTCGAGCGCCGGCTCCAGGATGACAATCATATCCCAGGCGCCCCGATCTCTTCCAACTTTCCTCCCGTGCTAAGTCGGGGTGGAGCCGCAGTTGCGACGCACGGCGGGCCCTGGTCGCTGGTCCGGCCGCTCTGAAGCACAAAGGGATCGAGGCCGCGGACTGCGCGCCAGCGGACGCGCTGCTCTCTCCTCGCCACAGTCAATCACGCAGTTAGCGGATTTCTTGTTCGCCAGGAGGCTGGGCTCCGAGGCGGATCGCCGTCCACCCGCCCCTGGCTTCTCCCCACAAGCCAGAGAGCCCCAGAGCGAGTTAGAGACCCGGAATGAAAGTCCCTGGGAGAGCCGGATGGATGCCCGCGTCCAGAGCGCAGGGAGTCCAGGATGACTGTCCCTCTCGGCCAGCAGCAGCAGGTGGGCGAGTGAAAAGCCTTGGACATTTGCACGTCGCCGGCCTGGCCTCTCTTCCACCAACCACTCGCCAGACGGCGAGGGAGAAGACACTGGGGGCCCGGGGCTACGGGGGTAGCCTTTCTTTAGAGGAGAGGTAGTGGGCAAGAGCTGCCAGATGAAGCAGCAGCTACGCCGGGGTAGGTCTCTGGACCCCACTACCCTTCTCCCGCCCCCACCATGCCTCACTGCCTCTTTCTCGGGGCTTTCCATCCGTAGCTCACCCGGCCAGGCCGGTGGCGGTGGTGGTGGAGGGTGCGGGTCCCCTTCCCCTCCGCACTCACTCTCGCACCCGCCCACGCTCCACTGCAAACACTTCGCCGAGCAGTGCCCAACCCAACCACTGTTTGCTCAGCGAGGCGCTGGCAAGGCAAACACACACAACGGAGCCACAGGCAGAGCCCTTGCCCACGACGGCCACGCAGTTAGAATGCAAAACAGACCCTCCGCGCGCCTCTCCACCCCGCCCCGCCACCAGCCGCAGACGCACTCGAATTCTGGGACAGACAGGGGCGCTGGTGAACCAGGACAGAGGTTGGCACAGTGTTGGGCACTCCGCTGGAGCTCAGTGTATCAGGGACTTTGTGGCCTTTCGTGACGGGGTCGCACGCACGCCGAAGCATGACTCTACCCAAAGTTTCTCGCAATGACTTTGACCGGCGGGATACACTCTGCCTCCCGAGCCCCAGCGTCCGCACGCTAACCCAGCCAGCACCCTTGCACTCACTGGGCAGCGCGACTTCACGCACGCGCGCTGACGCCTCCCCGCCTCCAGCTCCCCCGGGCTTCGCCCCTCAAGCGGGCATTCGCCGGGAACCTCTTGGTCCGCCCCGCCCTATGCCTCTGTGCCTTCACCTCTAATTGGACGCTGGCCTCGGGTGGCCCCGCCCCCAGTGACGTCAGGCCCTTGCCCCCGAGTCGACGCGCCGAGGGGGCGGGGCGGGGCGGGGCGTCGGCGCGCTATTGTCATGGAGACGGGAAGCCCGCGGCAGCCGCGGCGGGCAGGGCCGGGCGGAGGTGGGTGCGAGCCGGCCGAGAGCGAGGCGAGGC